ACAGGTAGAACTGGGGGTTGGGTGAAGGGTTATGGGGTGTTTAATGCGGAGGCACAGGTAGAACGGGGGGTTGGGGGTGAAGGGTTATGGGGTGTTTAATGCAGAGGCACAGGTAGAACTGGGGGGTGGGGTGAAGGGTTGTGGGGTGTTTAATGCAGTGGCACAGGTAGAACTGGGGGTTGGGGGTGAAGGGTTATGGGGTGTTTAATGCAGAGGCACAGGTAGAACAGGGCGGGGGCAGATCAGGTGGGAGGTTCATAGTCACCAGCTTTGTCCTTCAGCTGCATTTTCACTTGTTCTCTGAGATCTTGGGCCCTGGCTGCTAAGCAGGGTAGAGAGAGGACAGCACTTGGATGGGAGACCTCCACGGACCATCCCAAGTGATATGGGTGGCTGTGGAGCCCGGTGCCCTTGGTCAGTGCTGACCCCAGTGCCCAGCATGGCGCTAGAGGTGCTGCGCTGCAGGGGGAGGTGCAGGTGACTCAGGAGGGGGCGCTCACCCATAGTCAGTGTTGACCCCTGGGTGGCACTAGGGGGCAGTACTGTGATGTGGGGAGCAGGGTGGATGGCTCAATGGGGCGCATGCTCTCCGTCAGTCACTGCTGACCCCCCCAGGGGGCTGGGGGCGCGGCTGTTGTTGGGATGAGATGTAAATCCACATCTGATCCCTTGCTGTTCCAAAAACTCCCTGAGCCCTTTCCAGGCTCCAGTTTCAACAGGATGTGCCACCTCCTTCCTACCCCCTCAGCTGCGTGCAGAGCGGCTGCGCCTTCGTGCCCCTGCGGGTCTGTGCTGGGCGAGGGGACCCTGCAGGGAGGTGAGGTTCTTTGGGGCGCAGGGTGCCCGTTGGCCCTGTGGATTTACCGGGGAGCATCTCTTCCCCCTGCAGGATGAAAGGGGCTCGGCTGCCGATGTTGAGAACACCCCAGCCATCCAGGCCATAAAGAAGATCCGTTCCTCCTTCCCAGAGCTGCTGATCGCCTGTGATGTCTGCCTGTGCCCCTATACCTCTCACGGGCACTGCGGTGAGGACCAGGGCAGCCACCCACCCACCCACCCTCCTCTGCATTAATCGACGGCCACGAGAGGAGCCAGGCTGCCGGCTGGGAGCGGAGGAAGTGCCTCGCTGGCGTGTGCTCAGCTAGTGGGCTCTTTGCTGGGGTTGTGCCCTGCCCCCTGGCCGCACGTAACTCTGTGGTGCGATGTGCCAGCTCAGGGCACTGAGCGTGGAGGCCAGCCTGCATGGGGCTCAGGGACCTTAGGGGGGAAGGCAGAATTAGATCAAAGGCTGCAGTGACTGAGCGATGCATGGCCGGCCGCTCCATTCGCCTCATACGTGGTCCCACAGCCAGCTGTGAGAGTTAGTTCCCTGGGCTCTGCCTGCCAGGGCCCTCCCTCCCCCCCCAGCACGACCACTGGCCCCCTCCTTTGTCCTAACCCTGCTCCCTCAGCGGTTGGGATGGACGCACCACCTCCAGCCAGCAGGGCCTTGGTCTCAGTCCCAGGCTGTGCCGAACCCCCCACCAGATTTCAGCCATCTCCAGGAACCTGCTCCCCCCGCCTAGTCACCCCCTGCAGTCCTGCAGAGCTGGGTGTGGTGTGCAGGCTGCCTCCCCTCTCCAGCACCCCCTGCTGCTGGGCTGGGCTCCTGTGGGGAGGGGCACTGGGCAGTTCTGGCTGGTGCTCTGTGACTCTGTGCTCCCCATCTAACCCTGGGCTTGCCTTGCAGGGATCCTGCGGAAGGATGGCACCATCCAGAACGAGGCCAGCTGCCAGCGGCTGGCAGAAGTGTCGCTAGCCTATGCCAAGGCAGGTGAGAGGGGTTCCTAGCAGCAGCAGGTTCTTGCTGGCTGCCTGGCTTCGCCCTGCTTGTTGGCCCTACCAGGAACATATCTGAGCAATGCTGAGGGGGGCAGCAGCCGCTGGCCTCTCCTTGAGGGGCTGTGGGCCCATCCCATCTCCGCTGGCTCTGCCTGCAGCTTGTGGGACTCTGGGGTGTCTGACCCAGTTGCTCTCCTCCAGCAGGTTCTGACATGCGGTCCCCAGCCAAACTGAGCAGAGGCTCAGTGGCTCTACTTCCCAGCCAGGTCCTGGCACGCCTGGCTGCTGGGACATCAATTTTGAGTCCCCCCAGGCCGGGAGTGGCTCCGGGGGCAGGGACTGTTCCTTGCAGTTCTTCAGCGCCCGTGCTCTCTCCCTGCAGGATGCCACATCGTGGCCCCCTCGGACATGATGGACGGACGCGTCGCAGCCATGAAAGAGGCTCTGATCTCCAATAACATGGGCAACAAGGTGGGCAGGGGCAGCACACACGCTGTGGTCAGTCCGGGCTCAGTATGGAGCGGTGTCACAGCTGGAGCTGTATGCGTGGTGGAGGGGAGATGATGGGGAACAGGGCCTGCGGAGAAGGGAGCTCCCTGCTTCCCACAGTGGTAGGCCAGGGGGTCCGATGGTGGCTTCCATGGGGCCACAGGGAGGGGCTTCCAGGCCCCAGCAGGTGTGGATGGGAAGGGCGTGCCCATGGATGGGGAGGAGGGGTAATGCCAAGGCTCCTGACTGGGGAGGTTGGAAAACATAGTACAAGGGGATTGCAGCAGAGAATTTCTCCCCCACCTTCATGCTGGGCCGGGAGGCAACTGATCTCCCTGCCATGTCTCTCCCGCCCCCTGCAGGTCTCTGTGATGAGCTACAGCGCCAAGTTTGCTTCCTGTTTCTATGGCCCTTTCAGGTGAGTGTCTCCGAGGGCAGGGGTGAGCGTGAGCCAGGCTCTGTGTCTGACCCCATAGGGTTCGTGCTTGGCATGCAGAGCCGAGCAATTCGAATGTAGGACTCCGGAGCACCGAGCTCTGGGTCTGGGACTCTCACTAACTTGCACTGAGCTTTGTGCCTCAGTTTCCTCATCTGTAAAATGGAGAATATAGCTCCTTCTCCAGGAAAGGGATGGGGAGGGCAGGGTAATATTTGCTCCCACACAGGAATTTTCATCTGTCCCTCAGAGTATAGCTCTGCAGAGATTCACTCTTCCTCCTGCCAAGCTTGGAGATGACTTCTGCTCCTACCTGGCTTCAGCTCTGTTTCTTGTCAGTGCTCTCAGCCCTGCGAGCTTCTTCTCAAGCAGGGCCACCTGGGGCAGGAGGGGGAGTGTGGAGTCGACTGGAACTGCTGTGGAACTGCACAGAGCCCTTCTCACCCCAGAGAGGGAGTGTTGGGTATGGTCCCAACCCCCTGGGCTGGCAGGTCTATTGCATGGGCTGAGCTCTGGCTCAGAAAAGTAGGGAGAGGTGGGTGTGATGGATTTGGTCACAGAGACCCCCTTGGGACTGTCACCTGATGTGCTGAGACTACCTCTGAGCCCATTTTTCCTGCTAGCTTGAGACTCCAGAACCCTGTCTTGTTGAGCCAGACACGCTAGCCAGCTGCAAACACAGGCCCAGGTCTGGTCCATGCCCCCAAAGCTGCAGACTTTAACCAAAAACTGCTCAGCAGGTCACCTGTCTCCAGCACCCAGACACCCAGTTCCCAATGGGATCTAAACCCCAAATAAATCCATTTAACTCTGTATAAAGCTTATACAGGGTAAACTCATAAATTGTCCACCCTCTATAACACTGCTAGAGAGAGATGCACAGCTGTTTGCTCCCCCAGATATTAATCACTTACTCTGGGTTTATCAATAAACAAAAGTGATTTTATTAAGTATAAAAAGTAGGATTTAAGTGGTTCCAAGTAATAACAGACAGAACAAAGTAAGTTACCAAGCAAAATAAAACAACACACAAGTCTAAGGCTAGTACATTAAGAAACCGATTACAGGTAAATCTCACCCTCAGAGATGTTCCAATAAGCTTCTTTCACAGACTAGACTCCTTCCTAGTCTGGGCCCTATCCTTTCCCTGATACAGTCCTTGTTAGTTCCAGCTCAGGTGGTAAGTAGGGGAATTCTCATGACTGGCAGCCCTCTTTGTTCTGTTCCACCCCCTTTTTATAGCTTTGGCACAAGGCAAGAATCCTTTGTGTCTCTCTGGTTTCCCACCCCTCTTTCTAAATGGAAAAGCACCAGGTTTAAGATGGATTCCACTATCATGTGACATGTTCACATGTCCTGCAAGATTTGCATAATTACAATAGTTATGCTACATATTCCTAGTTTCAGATACAAGAATGATACATTCATACAAATAAGATGACCACACACAGTAGATTATACACTTTGTAATGATACCTTACAAGAGACCTTTTGCATAAAGCATATTCCAGTTACATTATATTTACACTCATTATCATATTTCCATAAAACATAAGGAGTGCAACATCACAGTGGGGTCTGAACTAACTCATACCAGACCCTAGAGCAGAGGTCCCCAAACTGTGGGGCATGCCCCCCTAGGGGGGCACGGAGGAACATTTGGGGCAGGGCGTGACTGGGGTCTGGGCCCCATAGGGGGTGGGGAGCAAGTGCCATCCAGCTCCACTTCTGGCCCCGGCCCCAGCTGCCAGCCTCAGCCCCTGGCCAAGGCTCCTTTACCCTTGTCTGTGCCCCCCCCACCAGCCCCCGGAGCTGTGGCCCTGCTCCCAGCCCCGGGGAGTGTGAGGTAAAAAGTTTGGGGACCACTGCCCTAGGGGAGCTGGGGTGAGGGACTGTGTCATTGCCGCCTGTGTGCTCGCTGGGGTGGGGCTGTGTCACAGATCCACAGGATCAGTGCCATGCTCCAGCTTTGGAACAGTCTCTAGGAGGAACCCCTGCAGTGTGCCAGCCCTGCTGGGGTCTCACTCTTCCTCCAGGGTAGGCCACATGGCCTCACCACCTCCTTAGACTGGACCTCTGAGCCGTCCGCTCCCCTGCTTCACAGCGGGAGCTCTGCCCAGTGAGTCCAGCTGAGACAGACTCGTGGCACGCTCTGCAGGGATTAACGCACCTCTGCGAGTGTTTGCAGGCACACTCAGGGCACGTCTACACTTAAAACGCTGCATTGGCGCAGCTGCACTGCTGTGCTTTCATGAAGACGCTCTAAGCGGATGGGAGAGAGATTTCCCATTGGCTTAGTTAATCCACCTCCCCTAGAGGCGATAGCTACGTCACCAGGAGAAGTTCTCCCACCAACATAGCACTGGCTACACAGGGGGTTACGTCGGTGGTATTATGCCGCTCAGAGGATGGATTTTTCAGTTATACCGATATAGATCTGTAGTGTAGACCAGACCTCAGACAGCGCTGTCAAATCAGTCGGGTTTATTAGTCAGCTGGAACTCAGCATGGGAAGTCCTTAGGTTGGCAGAGAGAACTGAAGGTTAAAGCACAGACCATTCTGGTCAGCCCAGAGCCCAGCCAAGCTGTAGCGAACCCCACTGCCCAAGCTCTGTCTGTCTCCATCCAACTTCCTTGGTTAGTTCCCAGGTGTGAGCCTGGACTCCTTCCAGCAGCCAACTCTTATCCCCCACCTCCCAGTCCTTTGTTCTCCAGCTGAGGGAGGGAAAATCTACCTCCCTGCTAGGTGTCAGTCCTGTTGATTGGATTTGCCATTGTCCTCAGGCCAGTCCTTTTTAATGACCCACGCTGCTGTAAGATCACTCCAGCAGCCTCGTTATGCCGATGGGAGAGAGCTCTCCTGTCAATGAGTGGCAGCTCTACTGTGTCGTCAGGAGAGGCTTTCCCACCGACAGCGCTGTGCAAACGAGCGCTTATGCCAGCAAAACGTATGTCACTCGGGGGATGCATTTTTCACACCCCTGAGCGACAGACGTTTTGCCGACATAAGTGCTAGCGTAGACGTGGCCTGAGAGTTCACAGCTGTGCAGCTGCACCACTGTACGCTCTCTAATGTAGCTGCTTTCAATCGACGGGTGAGAGCTCTTCCCTCGCTTAACTACTCCAGCCCCGCGAGCAGTAAGAGACGCTCTCCCACCGACATAGCTCTGTCCACACCCGCGCGTCTGTCGGTGTAACTTATGTTGCTCTGTGGGGTGGTTTATTCACATTCCTGAGGCCTGTTCTACACTGGAGGGGGATCAGTCTAAGTTACACAACTAATAACGTAGCTGAAGTCGACGTACTTAGATCTACTCTCCGCGGTGTCTTCACTGCAGTGAGTCGACTGCTGCCGCTCCCCCGTCAACGCCGCCTGCGCCTCTCACTCCGGTGGAGTACGGGAGAGCGTTTGGGGGTTGATTTATCATGTCTACACTAGACGCGATAAATCGACCCCCGCTGGATCGATCGCTGCCTGCCAATCCCGCAGGTAGTGTAGACAAGCCCTGAGTGATGTACGTTTTGCCGACATAAGCTGTAGTGCAGACAGAGCATCAGCCAGCCAGGCGATATTCACACCTATATCTCTTAGCCTGCCCTGAGAGCAAACTGCTCCCCACCCTCCTCAACTGGGCAGCCTTGCGAAATACGAGGGAAACTGACGCACACACAGGCTACATAAACATATTACAAACGTTCCCACTTTGTCACAGCCGCCAGGCCTCACTGGGGGCAGAGTTCTCACTGGTGGGCTCGTGGTTCTCGGGGCGGCTCAGCGACCCGCTGCCTCCTGAATTGGGAGAAGGATGGGATGCTACTAAGGCCCCTCCTTCCCCCTGCTTTGCTCCACCCCAGCAAGGGGTCACTACGGCAGGTGCTTGGGCTCTCCTGGGAGGGGGGCGCTGGTTCCTGGGAATTCTCTGAGGCCAGACTGCTGTTTTACTGCCTGGTGTCTCCTTCGTCTTACCAGAGACGCTGCGCTGTCCAAACCTGCGTTCGGAGACCGACGATGTTACCAGCTTCCCCCGGGCGCCCGGGGCCTGGCCCTGCGAGCTGTGGTGAGTGAGCCTGCCCACAGGGGGCACCACCCATGGGCCCACAGCCCAGCTGCCCTAGGCAGTAGGTGTTGGTGTCACAGTAATGTCCTGCAGCAGAGTGAATCCTGCATGGCTAGGTGCCAAGAGCCGCCCTCTCCTCCAGGCTGATCCGGGGGCTGAGTGGGGAGGTGGGTCTGTCCTCCTCTCCGAGACCTGACCTCTTTCCATGACAGGAATGGGCGTCGCGGTGTGGCAGATCCTCGGGAACCCAGGCCTGTTGTACCTGCCCTGGCACAACCTGGGCAGCGACAGAGCAAGCTTGTCCCACCGGTTAGACCCCCACCTCACCTGGAGGGTCGCCCCGGTGGGGGGGGGGGGGGCGGGCAGGGCCCCGGGGAGCAGTCCCACGGTACTGTGAGGTGGGAGCAGCCAGGAGTGGCACTGGCTGGAACAGCTGAGGATCTCCTGCAGCGAGCTGGGGGATTGCTAACCCCGGGGGTTGTCCAGCTCAGCAGTGCCAAGCACCTGGTCCTCTCCTGGCTTCACTTGGCACGTGGGCCTGAGGATTCAGCTCAGCAGAGGAGGCTGTCGGTAGCTGTCGATTTGGGTGTGACTCCGCTTCCCGTCGCGTTGGCCTTATGCATGTTGCTGTTGCTCTTTGTGTCACAACCACGATCTCCGTGCACATCCGCCATTCCCGGGCAAACCCATCCTCTAGCAAAGAGCTGAGTAGGCTTCTCCATCTCCTGCCCCAGCCCCTGCCTGCCCAGAGATCCTAGGGCCTGCAGAGGCCATGGGCCCAGCTCAGCCTTTCAGCCCCTCCGACCCAGCCTGCGGTGGCTCACGTTTGTCAGTCACACAGAGCAGGGAGTGGCTGAGCCAACACCAGCTCTGCCGGGCAGGGGAGGGGGCGTTGTGTTTGGGTCTAACATGAAGGAGCCTCAGCCTCTGGCGGCTGGCCTGGGCAAGCGCACCATTCCCCTCATGGGCTTCCTCCTTGAAACGCAGACCCACTGTCATCCCTTTCACATCACAGCCTCGGGGATCGTCTGCGGCCCCCCTCCCCCCGTCTCCCTTCCTGCGTGGGAGGGGGGCTGGCTGCAGGATGGCTCCTGCTGGCCTGCCCGTAGCTGAGTTCTGTTTGTTGCTAGGGCCGTGCGGAGCACAAAGGGTGCTAGGAGGACCAGACTCTCCCCTCCCACTGGGCCAGGACCTGGGCTGCAGCCATCAGGCTGACTCGCTGGTCCCCCCATCCCCCAGTCCCTGTGCTGTTCTCACAGGCCCCCGCCCCGACCTGTTCTCTCCTTGCAGGACCGGGATGTGCGGGAGGGAGCAGACATGCTGATGGTGAAGCCGGGGATGCCCTACCTCGACCTCGTGAGAGATGTCAAGGCCAAAGTGAGCCCTGTTCCCTGTTCGGCAGGGACTGTCTCTGGAGATGGGGCACAGAGTGGGTGGCTGTAGAATGGGCGTTGGGCTCGCCCAGGAGACTGAAGCCGAGGGGGACAGTCCCCTGGGCCTGGCAGAGGGCAGAGAAGGCCCTGAGCCGGGAGTGCAGTGTGTGTACAAGCTGCAGCAGGCCTAGTCCCTGGAGCACCTTCCAGGGATTGACCCTGGGGGAGGCTACCCCTGGGCCTGCTGCTGTAGCTCCCACCAATACAGTGAGTTGGGGGAGGGGGAGCGTCTTGCTCTGGCTGGGATAATGGTAGGCTGCTTAGAGCCCGGTGTTTTGTTAGCGTGCCCATGCGGGGGGGAGCCTTGCTGCTTGGAAGCTCTGCCCTGAATCCCCCCAGTTCCTGGAGCTGTGTGTTTCTAACCCGAGCCATTCAAACTCCGACAACCGGCCCATGAAGTGGTGGCACCCGCCGTCCCCCCAAAGATTCTGATCTTGTGGGTGGGGTTGCTAAGGGCACACTGCAGACACTGCTCCCTCCGTAATTCCCAAGGCCTTGAGAGTCGGTGGCTAGAGAACAACCTGCCCAGAGCCCCTGCTTTGCTGCCAGCATTGCAGGACTCGGCAGAGCTGGGCCATGCAGCTTGGGGCTCAGGGTTGTCTGTCTGACCTTCCTGCTGCTGTTTTCAGCATCCCACCCACCCGCTGGCTGTTTACCACGTGTCGGGGGAGTTTGCCATGCTGTGGCACGGAGCACAGGCAGGGGCCTTTAACCTAAAGGCTGCCGTCATGGAGGTGATGACCGGGTTCAGGCGAGCAGGTGAGTGAGGTTGGGCAGGGTCAGCGTCATGACTAGCAAGGCCCCACGCTGCTGGAGGAACTAGGGCCCTGGATTCTCTTCCCCTCTGGGCCCACTGTGGTGGTGTGGCAGCCTGAACCTTGGGAGTCCCCCAAGACTACGGGACCAGTCATGACTGTGCTGGAGGCTGACCCTGGAATGCAGAGCCAGGCCCAGTGCAACTCCGAACACCTCAATCCTTTAACCAAAGCCGATTTCTAAAGCACCAAGCGCTGCTCCACCCGGCCTGTGCTTTTCCAGCCAGCTCGGTAGCAATCCAAGTAGAGTTCTGTCTGGCTCCTTAGGAAACATGAAGTGTGGTTACACAGGGGGCCTGGGAGCCTGGACTCCTGGGTTCTACTCCAACTCAGCCACTTCCTGGCTCCTCCTCTAGCAAAGGGGTCTCCGCCTTTCCCAGGCTACAGGGAGCCCATTGGATGAAAGGGGCTGTATAGGAATCTATTCACGGGGGCTTATTTCTGAATGTATCTGTGACGGGTTGGATCACAGAAACCCCCTTGGGAACTGCCAACTGATGTGCCAAGACTACTTCTGCCCCTGCTTTCCCTGCCAGCTTGGGACTCCAGCACCCTGTCTTGTTGAGCCAGACACCCCAGTCTGCTCCAACACAGACCCAGGGTCTGAACCACATGCCCCAAAGCTGCAGACTTAACTGAAAGCAACTTAAGAAGTGTTCCTGTCTTTAACCCTCAGATGCCCAACTCCCAATGGGGTCCAAACCCCAAATAAATCCGTTTTATCCTGTATAAAGCTTATACAGGGTAAACTCATAAATTATTTGTCCTCTATAACACTGATAGAGAGAGATGCACAGTTGTTTGCCCCTTCCTACCCCCCAGGTATTAATACATACTCTGGGTTAATTAATAAGTAAAAAGTGATTTTATTAAATTCAGAAAGTAGGATTTAAGTGGTTCCAAGTAATAACAGACAGAACAAAGTGAATTACTAAGTAAAATAAAATAAAACACGTAAGTCTGAGTCTAATACAGTAACAAAACTGAATACAGATAAGATCTCACCCTCAGAGTTGTTTCAATAAGTTTCTTTCACAGACTGGACACCTTCCTAGTCTGGGCACAATCCTTTCCCCTGGTACAGCCCTTGTTCCAGCTCAGGTGGTAGCTAGGGGATGTCTCATGATGGCTCCCCTTTTGTTCTGTTACACCCACTTATATATCTTTTGCATAAGGCGGGAATCCTTTGTCCCTCTCTGCGTTCCCACCCCCTCCTTCTCAATGGAAAAGCACCAGGTTAAAGATGGATTCCAGTTCAGGTGACATGATCACATGTCACTGTAAGACTTGTATACAGGGAGACTTACAAGTAAAACAGAGCCATCTACAGACAATTGTCCTGGTTGATGGGAGCCATCAAGATTCCAAACCACCATTAATGGCCCACACTTTGCATAATTACAATAGGACTCAGAGTTATATTTCATATTTCTAGTTTCAGATACAAGAGTGGTACATTTATACAAATAGGATGACGACACTCAGTAGATGATAAGCTTTGTAATGATACCTTACAAGATACCTTTTGCATGAAGCATATTCCAGTTACATTATATTCATACTCATCAGCATACTTTCATAAAATCATATAGAGTGCAACGTCACAGTATCCTCCTGGGAAAACACGGCCCAAGCTCAGCAGCCCTTTGCCTGGGCTGATTCCTGTTTTAGAGCCCAGGCTCCAGCTCCTTTAACTGAGAGACAACGAACCCAGGTCCAGTCCCGCTGTGACTCTGTGGAATCCCCCGTCCTCCCAGCTGCATTCCTGTGATCTGACACGAGACCAGGCTCCCCTCTTGGAGCTGGAATTCCCCACTGGCTGGTGCTTGTTAAGGAATATGTCGGAGCAGGTGTCCAAAACCCTCAGAGGAGAGGGGCGAGTTCTTGCCTGGAATGTTGGTCCATGGGTTGAGGATACACTCAGAACTGTAAGCTCCCCACGGTGATGCGGGGCCATGGGAGTTGTACCTCAGAATCATTGTTCCAGACTGTCTGCAGGCTCAGGCAGATATCCCTGCTTTGTTCACTCCCAGGGCATGGTTAGAAGGTTCTCTCAGCAGCCATGGGGCGTAGGAACACAGCTGAGATTCTGGAGAAGCTGAATGTCATGTGGGCCACACAAACAGTACTGTGGTCTGACCCAGCCTACAGGCTGTATGTTAAGAGTCACTGGGGGCTGGCTGGGGGGAGGGAGGGATGGTAGCTCCTTGGCATGGAGTGGGACTGTCTCCCTTTGTGGAGCATGGGAATGCTGGCTTGATACGGTGTCTAGCAGCTCCTCACGCGTTCCTTGCTGCTGCATTCCAGGAGCTGATATCATCATTACCTACTACGTGCCCCAGCTCCTGAAGTGGCTGAAGGAGGAACAGGCGTGAAGTGCCTGAGTGAAGGCAACACACAGAAGGAAACCCGCGAGGACCGGAAAGGACTGAAATGCAAAATGAGGATTTTTATGGGGCCTTAGAGATACAAGGCTGAATCCAGCCCCAGCGTAAACAGGTCCAGCACCACTGGCTGCAGGGGTGCTGCACCTGCCTACACTAGAGCTGACTTTAGCCCAAAGAAGCCAAAGGAGAAGTGGGCTTAATGCTGAGACCCTCCTCTGGCAGCAAAATGCCTTAGGACCAGAACTGATCTCCCCAGCGACCCCCCCTTGGAGAGGCACCTTCTTAATGTGATGGTTTCTTTTAATGTGTCGCTTTGTGACACCAGATGGGCGATTTTTATGAGATTCTTCATAAAGGAAGCGCCCATTCCCGACCATTCCTCTACCCCAATGTCCTTCTCGGTCTAGCCGGGGTGTTGGTAACACAGGGGAAGGCTGATGTGGGGCAGTTCACCTGCACATTGATCACAGGAGTGCTAGTTCTGGGGGTGTCTCAAACGTTCACTGCAGATGTTCTCCCTGCAGTGCACTAGTGACATAATTCCTTTGCTACAGCCCCCAGCAGAGCTTTGCTCTCCCCTGGTTGGGCTTTCTGCACAGAAACGCTGTCTGGGTCACAAACATGGAAGCAGCAGAGGCAGGCAGGGCTTCCCTTGCTGGTCAGCCAGACACTGCGCGGACACTCTAACACTTTCCTCTGGTGAACACGCTGTTTCAAACTTTTTAATATGGAGAAATACCCCAAGATGCTTCAGAGCCCTCAGGGAGGGGGGGTTCCCCTCCACGCGCGCTTGTGCCTTAAACCTGTTGTCATTGCATAGAATAGAGAATATTGGCCTGGTTCTGAGCTGTGGCCCTGCTGTCTCGAGGGCGACAGGGCATGTGGGGCTAGGCAGTATAAGGGCTTCAGAAGTATAATGTCCTGATTGCTAACGGGCCATTGCACATCCGCCCAACATTACTAGGAGTTCTTTTAGCCCTGAGCACCCAGAAGAGCAGCTCCTAGCACTCACATTGGCTCTGTCAACTCGCAGTTCAGCTCTGGCCTTTGATTCCCTAATAGGATGCTGTCACCTTATATAGAAGTATTGTCAAAATAATCTTTCTCTAAAACCCAAGAGCACTAGAAATGTTTCCCTATTTTAAAAATCCCAATGAAAATAATTGTTTTAACTCACTGCTTGTTCCTGTGCCGTGTTTCAAACTCAGCATTGCAGCAGGCAGAACCAGGCAGTGAAAGTCGCCCGACTGGCTCTGCTGTCCAATGCACACGTTAAAATTACTTCACCCTAGCAGTCTAACGTGATGTTAATAACATAGCTGAGAACTTTAATTTGTACCATGGTTCTTAAGTTGATCATGCTGTTATGAAGTCTAGATGTTTTAGATTAATTGCTAGAGCTACTCTGCTTTGGTAGTCTTAGCAGCAGCCTCTGATATTCTTCAATGCCTGGAGTGCGTTCAGCTGAAAATAAAAAGAAAAAAACCCACAAGTCTACAACCCGGGTAACTTGATGATGTTGGTAAGGAAGAGGGTGGAGGGAACTCCACTGCACCTTCTTGAAGTGGCCAGCACTCTCCTCTGGGCAACAGAGGGATTTCTTTTCAATCTGCATTGCCATAATTTTGGGGGTGGGGAAGAGCCTGACTCCTCTGTAGAAGAAGCTGTGCTAGTATGTGCAGATCTGTGATCTTCCCTGGAGGTACAGTCACACCAACGGCATTCCCTGTTCCTCTGACTCATGAAGGTCTGTCAGCCCCTCATCCTGTTAGCTTGACAGATGGTATCCTTTCCAAGAAAAGGACAGGCCCGTCCTCAGCTGAGTTTACAGACTACAAAGAAACATAGGGTGGTGCTGGCAGATTGGGTGTAGTTTACCTTACAAGCCTCTCTTCCCCTTGATGGTTTGCACAGATGAGCAACTAGAGGAAGACAAGGCCAACCCTAATGATAGGAAGAAGGGAAAGGGGCAAGAGCAGTGGGAGGGCAGAGCAGCAATGCCCTCTGGAGGGAAAGGGAACTTGTTCAAGGATAAAAAGTAGAGTCCTGGTAGGGTGACCAGATAGCAACTGTGAAAAAACAGGACGGGGGTGGGAGGTAATAGGTGCCTATAGAAGAAAAAGTCCCCAAAAATGGAATTGTCCCTTTAAAAATGGGACACCTGGTCACCTGAAGTCCTGGGAAAGAAGTCGCCATTCCTGTTTCAGAGTTGAGCGCCCCAGTTTTGTAAGGGTGAATACACTGGTGTGGGTGAGACGCTCAGTTGCTATGGGGGAGCCCTATAGATTGGTCACTCGGAGGATTACACTTTCTAAGGGATTATGGTAGTCTGCTACTTTCACTGCTGCAGGCCAATCCTCCCAATGCCCCACAGCTTGTGAGGGGGCGAGAGCTCTACCTCATGGCTTGAGGGGATGGGGATGGGGGCTGTACCCCATGGTCTATGGGATGAAGTCATATTTAGGCCTGATAGAATCCTGCTGTGAATTCTAGGGGTCTGTTCTGATCACGTTTAACAGGAGAACAGGGTGTGTGTGTGTGTATACAACACTGCGGAATAACCATGTCTGTGAGAAAAATAAAAGTCACTGAAAAGCTGGAAGAGACTGGTTTGAACTCCCGCGAGAGCTGTAGTGGCTGGAGGAGAGCTAAGCTGGAGATGGGAGACTAATCCATGGGTATGAGAGCAGATAACACAAAGTTACAGGTACATTTATGTAACCAAGGGAGGTTAAAGCAGTATTGCCTGGTGCTGGAGGTGACTGATGAGATGGTCCGGATGAGCATCTCCCTGAACAGATCACTGCTTGCTGAGTGTTTTGCCTTCATAAAGAGTTAGACCCATCAGCTGCATAAGTGAATATCAATCCATGGGGTTGTACCCCACAGCTGGTGGGAGATGGGAGGCTGTAGCCCATAGCCGGTTGGGGGATCTGGAGGTTGGCTGTACCCTACAGCCGGCGGGAGGTCAGGGTGTGGGGGGCTGCACCCCGTGGCTGATGGGGGTGGGGGAGGCTGTACCCTACAGCAAGCGGGGGCGGCTGTTCCCTATGGCCGATGGGGGGTCGGGGGGGCTGTACCCTACAGCAGGCAGGGCCGGGGAGGCCTGTTCCCTATGGCCGATGGGGGGGGCTGTACCCTACAGCAGGCAGGGCCGGGGTGGGGGCTGCACCCCATGGCCGATGGGGGGGCGGGGGGGCTGTACCCTACAGGGGGCAGGAGGGCTGCACCCCATGGCCGATGGGGGTGGGGCGGGAAGCTGCTGCGGCGGCCCGAGCTGGTGCCGCTCCCGGCAGGTCTCAGCTCGGCAGCACAAGGTAAGTCGCAGACGGGCCGGGCCCGGCCTGGCTCTGGCCGGCGACTCCTCCGGAGCGATCGAGGCACGGCGCCGCCTCCTGTGGCGGGGCTCCCGGCCAGCTCCCGCCCTGCCCGCGGGCCCCGCTTCGCCGGGCCGCGTCGGCCCCCGCTCCGGCCAGGCCCTGCCGCTCCCCCCGCTCCCCGCAGGGCGCTGCGCAGCCGGGGTCCGAGAGCGGGACCGGCCCCGGCCCGGCGAACCCCCCGGCCCGGTCGGCCCCGGCCCCGACCCCCAGTGCGCTGCGGGCCCGGTTCTGGGCAGCGATGTGCTCACGGCAGCCCGGAGCCCCCGGGCACTTCCCGCCGCCTGGTCCCGGGAACCCAGAGGCGTTTGACAAAGGGGGGAATTCTTGTCCCTTTGCTTTCAACCCCAACACGCCGGTCAATGGAAACGGGGGTTGGGGGCCGGGTAACGGGCATTGGCGCCTGGTCAAATCTAAACCGAATCAGGAGCGGAGCGAGCCAAACCCCTTTGCCCACCGGTGGCTGATTGGTGCCCTCTGTGACATGAGCTGGGAGACTCGGGACAGCGCCCCAAAAAACGACCCCCCTCCAGCTGGCTCGCACGCTCTAGCCACATATTCAGGGCCCGGCCTTTTCAGATTGGATTTGATTTTCCTGGGAATTGATCAGTGTTTATAACCACCACAACAAAAACAGGTGAAAATCAGTGCAAAAAATATAATTTTTCTGGATAAATATCCGGGTTTATTTTTGTGGTCGGAAAGAGGGGGGTGGGGAAGTATTCAGTAGATTAATGGTTTGAATTCCCTTCATCAATGTGGTTTGCTGCAGAACTAAAACAGAAACCAAAACAGGCCACCTCTGAGTTTAAGAAAACAATAGATCTCTAATCCCCAAATAAAACTTTTCATTTGAATGGACACTTTACTGTTGTAGACTTAGAACTATTAGCCTATAAATAGTTACATTTAATAATTGGGCCACACCATTTGCAGCGCATACACTCAACTTCATCCTTTTCTCCTGTTTTGTTTTGTTTTTTTTTAACTTTCAACTTCTGAAATGTATTCTGATGCAGATTTTTGTTTTCTTCCCATTTTAGTGTGTCAAATCTTTAAACCATTATCTGCTTACAGCTTTGAAATGTGTACGTGGTCGGTGTGAGATTCATCAGTACGTTCAGATGCACATGCACTTCAGAGTTTGCAAGCCTGCCTGTTGGTTTATTGTGTGTATCTCTAGACTAATACATAGCCTTCCTTCAACAGGTAGCTTTGCATATACAGACTAATGTATGATCATAATACATATATCTCATGCAATGTATTGTATTTTCCTAATAAAACAAGGTATTTTTATATATTTGAATGTTACAAAAGTAGGGTGAAATCAGAAAAAAATTAATAATATTTTTTGTAGAACCCAGGATTTTTTTTGGTAAAAATCAGTTTAAACTGAAAATGAAGGGGCTTAAGTATTCATAAAGAACCCAAGGATCTCACAAAACTGGGTGACTGGGCAACAAAATGGCAGATGAAATGTTGATAAATGCAAAGTGATGCACACTGGAAAACATAATCCCAACTATACATATAAAATGATGGGGTCCTAAATTAGCTGTTACCACTCAAGAAAGAAAGCGTGGCATCAGTGTGGATAGTTCTCTGAAAACATCCACTCAATGTGCAGTGGCAGTCAAAAAAGCAAACAGAATGTTGGGAATCATTAAGAAAGGGATAAATAAGAAGACAGAAAATATCATATTGCCTCTATATAAATCCATGGTACGCCCACAACTTGAATGTGGTTGCCCCATCTCAAAAAAGATATATTGGAATTGGAAAAGATTCAGAGAAGGGCAACAAAAATTATTCAGGGTATGGAACAGCTTCCATATGAGGAGAGATTAATAAGACTGGGACTTTTCAGCTTGGAAAAGAGGCGATTAAGGGGGGATATGATAGAGGTCTACAAAATCATGAATGGCGTGGAGAAAATAAATAAGGAAATGTTATTTACTCCTCATAACACAAGAACTAGGAGTCACCAAATGATATTAATAGGCAGCAGGTTTAAAACAAACAAAAGGCAGTATTTCTTCATACAACACACAGTCAATCTGTGGAACTCCTTGCCAGAGGATGTTGTGAAGGCTACGACTATAACAAGGTTAAAAAAAGAGCTAGATAAATTCATGGAGGATAGGTCCATCAATGGCTATTAGCCAGGATGGGTACGGATAGTGTCCCTAGCCTCTGTTTGCCAGAAGCTGGGAATGGGTGACAGGGGATGGATCACTTGATGATTACTTGCTCTGTTCATTCCCTCTGGGGCACCTGGCAAGACAGGATATTGGACTAGGTGGACCTTGGTCTAACCCTGTATGGCTGTTTTTATGCTGGAATTAGAGGTACTGGGGGTGCTTTCGCACCCCTAGCTTGAAGGGGTTTCCAGGGTTTCCAGTTTGGTTCAATGGCTCTCAGCATCCCCACTGTACAAATTGTTCCAGCACCTCTGGACACAGTCCTTAGGCACTAGCCTCAGCAGAGAGACCAGCACTGAACTCCCACTGCTGCTGCCTTTGCATGTACCTGCCTCATGCCAAGAGGACTTCATCAGAGTTGTCAGTGCATCCTCCTCCTCTGAGACTGCTCACTTGATACAGCAGAAGGAAATGGATTCTTATCCCAAGTGTGTGTTACTAAGCCCTTAAATTGTAGTCAGGCTTCAGTGCAGAGACTGCAAGACTCGCTCCATGACAGCTGCTGTGTGGGTGTGTGCATTTTGTCTGAGGTTGAGAGAATTCCTAGCTACTAAGTCTGATTTCAGTTTCCTGGTAAACTGGTCTGGCTGTTTCTTCCAGAGTATTATTTTGGTGCTGAATAATCCTGCCACCTCACATACAGGCTAATTGCACAATAGTTCATGTAGTTATAGAGAAACCCATTGTTTTATTAGATCATTCTGTTATACTGCAAAATTACAAACTTTGCTTCTGGGGGAATTCTGTGCCACTGTGCACATGCAGAATTCATGTCCCCCACAGATTTCTTTGTTTCCCCACGGAAAAATGACTTCTGATGGGGAAGCAAAGGAAAGCCGCAAGACTGGTCACGCGCCCCTCCCTGGCAGCACAGGCACCTTGGTTTGGGCGACTGAAGCTGCCGTGGAGGGGCTGGATGTGTGTGCGAGAGACTCTGTCTCTCTCACTAGCTATTGTGGCCCACCCAGCGTGGAAGGGCAGGGCTTCGAGGTGTTTCTGCGGAGGTAGGCATGGGGCAGGCTCTGTCCCCTCAGGCAGAGCAGAACGTAGCAGCCTGCCTGCTTAGTGAATTTTCCCAGGAGTATAAAACAGGTGTTAAAGTTGTAAGGCTCTTTACATTGTCAGAGTGCTGTAAAGGACAGTATGGCTTATAAATGCTTATGGTGCTTCAGTGATTAGAACTGATCTAAATTTTTGGGCTGAAAAATTTTCCTATCACAATGTGCTCCATGAACTGTTTGCTACTGACCTTTCTGGAGATGCTCAGTAGCCAATATAAATTGTGACTTTGACTCCCCAGCCCTCACTTGCTCTTCAGTTGCCTATGATGTAACGTGAGCATACGGCTGCATATATTTGTTGACTATTAACTAGCTACATTACTATTAGACAGAGGGGGGTTGGGGATTTTCTCCAATGCTGCCCACTCCCATTCTCCATCTTTTGTATTGTAGTTTAAATAAATTACTAAAATAATTGAAACTGGTGTGATTATATTGCAGATTATATGCAGAATTTTAAAATATTGTGCGCAGAATTTTTTATTTTTGGTGAAGAATTTTTAATTTTTTGGCGCAGAATTCCCCCAGGTGTAAATCTGAATTGTTACCTATTTAAGAGCAGGAGAGTTCTAATTCATTACAGAAGGCTGGTAGTCTTAAATAGGTTATCTTGCTCCCCATTTATTTCTCTTGCATTAATTTCCCTACCCAGTGTCTGTGGATACTGGTCAACTTTGTCATTTCATGTTAAGAAATACAAATGAAAGTCAAATACAAATAGTATAAGATTGGCAGTTTCAGTTTCTCCTGCAAACAGAGAGGTGCAAAGTCCTGCAGTCTAGGATCTACAGGGTCTTCACTGACAACCTGTATCTAACATGGTAATGTAATGAAGTAAATCATTTTAGACATGAGGGGTTTGTACAGGTTTTGAGTGACTGAAGTACTGGTGCCGGTACTGACTTCACTGCGGTGGCAGTGAGGGCCTCTCTGTATCCACAGCATAGCAATTATGAGGGCAAACGTTCCTGCTCTGCTCTGCCATTGTGCCTCTACTGAAACCTGGGGGGACCACTTCTGTGGCTGAGAAGGGCCCGTCGGTGCTAATGGTGGGTTTGTGACATGGATACAGATCTGGCAGGAACTGGCCTGAGACCCAGCAATTCACGTCAAAGAAGCTACAGAACAGCCATCAGATAGAAACCATTTTCATTCACTGCAGGCCCGGGAGGAACTTGAACCCATGAGCCACAGGTGCTGTGAAGCTCCCCCAGGTTGAAAAGCTCCAGTGCCATTATCAATCGCTTGAGTCACTCACTGCCCCACGCGAAGTGTTCTGTTGGCATTGGACCTATAAGAGGGTTGGGTCTACGGCTTGTCTGATCCTTATCCCTTTATTTGGTGTTCTAGGTTCTCCTCGCTCCTCAGCCTCAATGAAGCAATGCTTCGGCTCCGGCTCTTAACGTGGGACGTGAAGGACACGTTGCTCCGGCTCCGGCACCCAGTAGGAGAGAATTACTCTGCTGCAGCCCGAGTTCACGAAGTTCATGTACAGCCTGAGGCTCTCACTAAGTCTTTCCATCAGGCATACAAAGCCCAGAGCAAGCACTTCCCCAACTATGGCCTGAGCCAGGGGCTAAGCTCCAAGCAGTGGTGGGCGGATGTTGTCAAACAGACTTTCAGACTCGCTGGTGTCCATGAAGACAGGCTCCTCTCCACCATTGCAGAAAGTCTCTATCAGGAGTTCTGCAGTGCATGGAACTGGGAGTTGTTACCAGGTGCCAGGGAGACTCTGAGGCAGTGCCACCAGCTGGGCATCCGTATGGCCGTAATCTCTAACTTCGACAAGAGGCTCGAGAAGATTCTGTCTCACTGCAACCTCAGGCACCATTTTGAATTTGTCTTGACCTCGGAGGAGGCTGGCTTTGCCAAGCCAGACCAGCGGATCTTTCAGAAGGCGCTGCACATTTCTGGGGTAGCCCCACATCAGGCGGCTCATGTGGGGGACAATTATGTGAAGGATTATAGGGCAGCCAGAGATGTGGGCATGCATAGCTTCCTGCTCACGAGGGCTGGGCGTGCAAACAATTGGGAGCTACAGGTACCAAAGCAGCACGTCCTGCCTTCACTTACCCACTTGCTGTCTGTTATCGAGAAGGGTTAACGGTGAATCCCTCGCCTCTCCGCAGAGATCACCAGGGACAAAACAGATTCCTTATACCTCGTCGCTAAAAAGAGGGACCAGTTGTGCTGGGGCGGGGAGGAGGAGAAGGGAGAGGATTTGGGTCTCCACCAGGTGAATCAGGTTCTAAAGAGTATCTGCATGTCCTGCTATAGAGAAGGGGGAAAGCAAACCCCGCTGAACTCAGTGAGAACTACTTGCTAGCACCATCCACAACCGCACATTAGTCATCCAATACAATAAACTGCTACAGATACTCAGCACTTCTCTTCCCCTTTCTTCCATAGCTCTCAAAGCACCTAACAGAGGGGGGATTAGTGCCATTATCGTCATTTTACAGGGGAGACCGAGGGATGATGGCTAAGGTCACCCAGCACGTCAGAGTGGAGATCAGAACTTGCATCTCCAGAGTGTCCCCTAGTGTCCTGTCCATTGCAGCTCTGAGCCCAGGCGTTAACCCCTCCTAGTGCAAGGAAAGACAGCATTGCTTGCACACTTGAATGAAGAGACAAAGCCAGAAGCAGAAATCCCTTCTCTGGGCCAGGTTCATTCCCCGCACTGGTACAACTGGCTGGCCTAGCTCCCTGCCAGCCTGGGCCTGCTGCACTGTGTGGTTCTGCCAGCGAGGAACACTGGTGCTGTGCTGACTTCAGTGGATCCCCTTGACCTGACAATAGCCTTTTCCCAGCCAGCACCCCCCCCTTCTTGGGTTGCTCTTGCTCTGGCCTGTAAGGCAGCCATTGCCCACCCCTGCAGCCTCTCACCACAGGCTCTCTCTGCATGGGACCTCTGCCAGGGTCTGGCACTTCACTAGGAGCCCTGATGCTGGCAGGGGATCCCATGGGATTTCCCCCCTTGCCATTATGCAAAGACTGGGCCTGGGGATGCTGACGACTCTGCTCCAAGTCAGGATTTTAGCAGAACCCACTGGTGGGCAGCATAGAGGGAGCATTGGAAACCAGAGCAGCCCAGCACTCGGGCACTCACTGCTTCCCAGAGGCTGATGGGAGCTTGGCTGGCAAGAGAAACTAGCCAATGGCCCTTTCGCTGCCCAAACCTCAGCAGGTGCCTTTTGCAGTGCTGCGCAGTGATCGCTGCACTGCTCCCAGTGCCTGGACTTGCAGCTGTGTGGCAGTGCCCCAGCAGAGTGCTGTGAAAAGCAGCCCAAGAGCTTGCCTAGACAGCTAGTGTGCAGCAGGCTGGGCTGTAAGTTTACCCCGCGCTACCCTGCCACGCACTAACTGGCCGTGTAGACCCTGTTGCTGATCCATTTTGAAACAGGAGCAGATCAAAGTGCACTTTAGTGCATGGCAAACTAAACGCACAGCCCAGCTTGCTGCAAACTAGACAAGCCCGGAGCGTGCAACATTCAGGGGGTTAAAAATCAAGATACTTATGTTTAAAAAGGGGAGAAACCAGCCCAGGCCAGGGTCCCTACTTCTAACCTGGGTCACGCCCTCAGTTCTAAAGCCCCTTGTCACTGAACCCACCCCAACAAATGAACCAGATTGTACGTAGTATTATCGACAGGCTTTTCCATGGCGCTCAGTTTGGTAGACTCTGTGCACCTCTTGCGCAGCCATGAATTTAGCCTCGCCACTCCCCTCTGAGGTCTGGCAGGGCAACCCCATGTTACAGAGGGGAAACTGAGGCACAGAGCTATTACGGGACTCATCCCAGTGTATCACACAGTCAGAATCACATGGCTTGCCCACATTTCCGGCTAGGGCTGTAACCACTGCACGTTCCCATCAAGGCTGAGCAGATTGCACATGCCAGTGTTGAGTTTCTCCCTCCAGGCTAGTGGTGGAAATTGAGGCTTCAGTGTAGGGCACCTCTTTTCTGTCCAGTATAACTAGCCTCCCCAAGTAGCCAGATGTTCCTGGAGCCCCATGGCCACATTAGCTGCAGCAGCTGCACTGTATATAAGGCTTCGGCTCTCAGTAGAGATAACTGCTGTATGTAGTAGAAAGAGAGCCCAAAGCATGGGGCCTGATACAAGGCCTAAGGCCTAAACTGAAGTGAGCAAAAGTCAGGCCCTGCTGCTATAAAGCAAAGTTAGCAAGCATCAGGCTATGAGCAAAAGGCAGGCCCTGTTACACAGCAGATGCCTGTTTGCAGGTTAACTGTCCGATACACGACCTTGGCAAAACACACAGGCACGCCCAAGAAGTACTAGGCACAGGGTATCGATGTATGCACATTCCAGACGTAAACATAATGCTGGGAGATGAAACAGGAACACACCGACCCCAAGTGAAACAAGGACGGAAGGACAGGCTTAGGCTGACAGAAGAAAATGTTTTGTTTGAACCAGCAGGTACAAGGTAAAGGGTGGTAACTAACCACGTCAGGGGGGCAATATGTAACTTGTTTGAGTCGGTGTATAAAAGAGGGGTTGCAGGAGCAGTGTTTTATCCAGCCTCGGGGGAGTAGAAGGTCCCACCACTCACTGAGCTGAGGCCATTACAATAGGCATACGTGTGTGTTCTCATAGAGTCTACCAGCCACTAGGACCATGCTTCATTAACAATAAACCTGGCCGAGTGCCTTTGCCACCGAACCAAGTCTGTGGTGGTCTTGGGCACTTCAATCAAGGTCTGCTGTATCAGCTCCCTGGCCAGATCTAGTGCAGCATGCTGAGAGAACACACACACAGCCAACAACTGACAACACTGTCAATGGAGCATTGTCAAAGGGATTAGGCCAAAGCAAAATTTGATGCAGTTCAGACAGCAGGACAAGATGGCAAATCCTGGAGTGTTAAAGAACTGCATAACTCTGTGACCAATAAACGGTTGCAGTTTTGCAGGCTAAGTTCAGGGTCATCAGCTCTCATGCTTCAAGGCACAAGATGATTTCTTGCAAGGGTCAGGAAGGATGGATTATTCCCCTCTAAGTGCAGTGTTGTGCAGTTGGCCAGATGCATTATGGGCAGTTTCCACTTCTGAAGCTTCAGGGCTTGGCTACAGGCAGAGGCTGACTATGCGACAAGACGGGCCAGTGAGCCGATCCTGTAGGGCAAGTCCAACCAGATTGCCTAGAAAGAATTCTAAGGGGCTACTGCTGTTAAGAAACAAGCTCAGAGCAGCCACCTGGGCTAAAGCCTGAGCCTATTTAGGTATGTGACACTGAGCCAGAAGGGGTTTAGCACTAGCAGGCTAACTAACCCAGATTCAACCTTTGGAGACATCTTAGCAGATAATGATTGTGTGTGTGTTTACATATATATTGTTAGAGGTTGACAACGTACCCAAACGGTTTGTGTCTGTCACTGTATTCTGTTAATTCATTGAGATGAACCGTGACTGTAGTAATATCATCGTCTTTATTTCTCTGTGGTGTATATAGTAAACTGCCTGTAAATGGTGGGAGATGGGCAGTTGCCTTATGTTAATTGATGCAGCTAATCACCAGTGGTGCTTAGGAAATAGGAGGTTCTACTTCAAAGCCATTATTGTTCACCCAAGGAATACCTGCCAGGGATCTATAACAAGAACTCTGGGGCCCTGATCCTGTTATCTCAGATCTGCTTAAGCTTCATCAGGGGAAGTTTGAGTCACAGGACTGAGGTCTCCAGCTCCAGTCTGGCTCACCCTGATATTGGACATTGTATTATAACTAAGGCTGCGAGTCTTTCACGGCTTCCATGACTTTCCGGGACCTCCATGATTTCTGCAGCTGCAGCGGCTGGTGCGGCTGCCCCCTAGGCTGCCCCCACGCCCATGAGCAGCAACATCTGCTGGAGCGCTCCACCCCTCAGCACCTAAGATTTAGTTAGGAGTATTTTTAGTAAAAGTCACGGACGGGTCACAATAACATGGATTATTGCCCATGACCTGTCCGTGACTTTTATTAAAAAATACCCATGACTAAATCGTAGCCTTAATTATAACCTATGGAAATAATTCTGAAAGAACTCTTTGCAACTTTAAAGCTTATAATCTCTACTATGAAACTAAGAATTTTATTTATATCTGTATGTATAATGCTCTTTTAACCTATACTCTCTCTTTTCTTTTTTAATAACTCTTAGTTTAGTTAATAAGAATTGGCTGTAAGCATGTATTTGGGTAAGACCTGAAATATTCATTGACTTGGCAGGTAATGTGTCCAATCCTTTGGGCTTGGTAGAACTTTTTATATGATGAATAAGATTTTCACTAATCCTCATCTTTGACTGGGCTGTCTGGGTGGGAGCCCAGGGCTGGATGTGTTTGTGGCTTCTGAGTAACCAGGACGATGTTATAGAAGCTGTTTTGTTGCTGGATTGGTGAATCTAATTATTAGAAATAACCTCCAGTTTGGGGGATCGTCTGCCCCATTCGTTGCAGTTTGCCCTGATTGAGCAATCTCAGTGTGGTCCCCCTGGCACCCTGGACATAAGGTGTCAGTGCATTCAGGCTGCCAGCCCCATCCTGGCTGCTTGGAGTGACTGACGATGCAGCAGGTGGCGTGCCAAATTGTGCGTCTCTGCAGAAAGCTCCCCCTTTTCCGCACACAGCTGGCGGGTGAGCTGCTGCCCCTGTGCCAGGCCTCGTTCACTGAACGAGGGAGATGCTCTGGTCAGCCACGGCAAACACGGGGTAGATGGGTGCAGTAAAGGCTTCACGGTGTGAGTGGAGGATGACACAGGCAGTAGGGTCGTAGAACAGCACTTCCCCCCCATCCAAGTCGACCAGGACACCCACTTGCGCGGGGCACTTGACTAGCTCCACCGCCTGATGATGGCTGTTGTGCGAGAAGCGGAACTCCTTATCATAGCGAGAGAACACCCAGGAGAAGGGGTTGTAGCCCAGCCGGGCTGCGTTGCCAGGCCCTTTGCGCTGCAAGGAGCCATAAGAAATGCCCAATTTGTACGCGCAGCTTTTGTCCACGCTGATCCTCCAGGCGTGGGTCCCTTTGTGGAAGGCCTTATTGCCCAAGGCGTTGGGCCAGTGATCGAAGCGCTCGGGGCAGTCTGGATAGGGCTTTGTCTTCTTGGGGCTGAATGCCAAGGTTTTCTTGTCTTCAGACAGGGCCAGCAGGGGGCTGACAGTTTTCTCATCTACGTGAACCTCTTCCAAACCTGCCAGGGAAGCCAAACAATCAGTACAGGCTGAGCAGCGGGACCTCGGCCAGGATCAGCCTGTCTCCCCCAGCAGCACTGGCCCAGGGAGGGAGCTGGGCTCATGTCCACGTTTCCCCTTTTTATAGGCCTTCCTAGGCAGTAGCCCTGTGAAGTGGCCACGCGGCTTCCTCTGGCGCCCAGCAGCAGCACCTTCCAGGGCCGGCAGGCCAGCTCCCTGGGGAGGGGGCTGAGCTCAGACTGGACTCTGCCTGCACAAGTTAGATGTACCCCAGCTAGTCCCACTGGGCACTGGCTCCTGGGGTCTCCCAGTTGTAGCTTGCAGTAGGTCCCGACTGGCTCCCTCCATCCCATCCATCATGAGCCATCTCCCCTCCGCAGTGCTCGTCCACCCTGCTGCCAGGAAACGGCAGGGCAGGGAGAAGCTGGCCCAGAGGTTGGAGTGGCTCTGTGCTGAGGGTGGCTGGTGAGCAGGATGCCTCAGGCTCTCAGCACATTGCAGATGGAGCAGGGGCAGGACAAGGCATGAGAGACCTCTGCCTTGGTCCCAGGGGTAGTACTCAGTGGGGACCAGGGCAGCACGGCCACAGGGCTGGCAGCTTTGGTCAAACCTGTTTCCAAGCAGGGAGGAGGCAGGTGCATTCACAGGCCACCACCTATCCACAGCTACCACCTGGCTTCCATCTGACCCCCCTCCCAACCTGATGCAGAAGATCCAGCTGTTCGAGTGGGCTTCCTGGCTGGGCTGGTGCCAGGGCAGCCTCCTTCCCCTTTCAAACAAGAAGTGTAATATGGTGCAGAACATATCCAACACCTGAGGCTCCCCCCAGGCCCACTTGTGACTAGGCTCCTGGCCACTGGGCTCCCCAAGATGAAGGCAGGGGCTGCATGTGGCCCTGAGGACACACTTTCCCCACCCAGTTTTGGAAGCGCTGGTTTCGACTTGGTGCAGATCCAGATGTAGGCGCAGGAGACATCTAATCTCTCCCAAACAGTTCCCTGCCCTGGCTCTTGGCAGCCCAGAATGCAGTGGGGGATGAATGGTTGATTTGGGCCCAGTGGCGGGAAGATTAGCAAACCAGACAAGTACTCAGCTCTGATGGAGGGGAGGCAAGGGGCACAGGGGGGATCTTGGCCCTACTCCCAGTGTGCAGGAGCCCATTCCTAGCCCAGCCAGCCACCCCGTTGGTGTAGACTCCCCCATTGCTGCAATCCTCGACTGAGACAGAGGATCCTGGGTCCCTTCTGGCTGGGATCTCTCTACCTGTCACCACGGCTGATGATCAGTGGCGCCAGAACCGGGGGAGGGGGCTAGGGGGCCATAGCCAGTGTTCCCTCTAATTTTTCCCACCCATGTGCGGAATGAATTTTATGTGCTCCAATATGGAGGTGATGTGTGACACATCACCTTCATAGTGGGGCACATACAAAAATTCATGTGGTGGGGGTGGGGCTGAGGGGTTCAGAGCGTGGGAGGGGGCTCAGGGCTGGGGCAGAGAGTTGCGGTGCAGGGGGGTGCGGCCGCGCAGCTTACAAGGAACTCAGGCCATAGCCTTCCCCTCCCCCCCCCTTTTGAAAGTGGACGGGCCTGGCCAGGGCAGACCCCGCCCCCTTCCCCTCCTCTCCCCCCCGAGGCCCCACTTCCCGGCCAGGCCAGCATGGAGCCCGGGCAGTTGTGGGAGCCACGCAGACCCTCCACCTGCCCTCGGCGAGGCGTCCGGGGGG